CTTCCTTGTGCATTCCCTGTGGCTCGCGGCGTCTCATTGAATGCTCACACCCTAGCTGATCTATGCCTGCTGTTCACCCACAATTTGACAAAGCAGGACTGTGAGTCTATGGCTGAAAATTACCCAGCTAAGCAAAGACGCTGCTCATGTCCCTGACAGATGAGTGTGGCTGTGACACGGATGTGGGCTGACCTCCGTGTGTGCTGATGACCGAGAGGAAGGTTAGAGAGCAGAGGTGTAAATTTCTTTGTCAATGTCACAGTGACCTTGTGGCAGGATCACACACAGTTTGCAAACAGAGAAAAAATATGGCTTCAGCAATGGTCCCTACTCACAGTGCAGCAGCTGCAGACAAGACACGTTGGTAAGTTTGATTTGCATGAGTAATACCTCCATCCCGTCACTGAGTTGAGGCCATCAAAAACACAAGAAATCAAGCCAGGGTTTTTTTAGCACTGGCCAACGCCCCTTGTGAGACTGCTCCTCCAAGAACAAAGAGCTGGGAGAGATGTAGCATGAGACACTGCTCTGTGGTGTTCCCGCTGTCCCGACACAAGCAACATTCCCGAGCATGGACAGTCATCTGCGCCATGACTTAGGATCCACTGGCCCAGCCCTGAGGGAGATGGCACCCCCGTGCCCATGGCTGTTACCTGCAGTTCAGCACCAACAGCACCACCTACAGAAACAGCTTTGCTCCAGCAAGAATGGATCTCAAGTATGCTTCCGCAGTTTGCTAGGCCCGTGTCTGTTAACAAACAAGATGACCACATTGTCAAACATGAGCTCTAGCCGAAAGCGTTCTCCATCTCAACCAGCTAGGACCAGCGATGAAGCCCTCGGTGCATGTTCTTTCTCTGTGTTCAAAGTGACAGAAGACATGAAGCAGGGGATCTTGCTGAAAGCCAGGGCAGGTGGAAGCCTCTGGAATGAGCCACTCTCAGCATCTCTCATTTCATAAAGAAGTTCGCTAATGGCCAGGGAGGTTCATTTACTATCACAGGGAAGCAAAGCTGGTGCCAAAGGCCGTAGCTCCCATTTGTAGGCTGGTTCCTGAGTGCTAGGAAAGAACTGTGACAGGTGTATCCCTCCATCCTCCCTTGGGCATAAATGGGTTCACTCAGCAACACCGTCCTGGGCAGAGGACCATTCAGGTGCGGAAAAGGTTACCTTTTCCTGTTATTCTGTTTTGATTTCATCGCACTGTTTACCGCACTCCTGATAAGGTACAGACTGTCTGGTCCAGGAGTAATCATTGACTAGTTATCAGCAGCCGAACTGGACAAGCTTGCACCAAACCAGCCAACCCACAAGTGCAGTTAGAGCCCAGGGCAGATTTTATGCCCGGTTCTAAGAGTGGAAACATCCTGGGTTTCTGTGAAGGACTGTGGGCAGAAAATCCCTTTGGAAAACGGGTTGGTGGCCAGTCTCTGAGGGTTGTAAAAATGTCCTTTTTGGAGAATAATGTCCTTTCTTCTCAGGAAATAATACAACTGCAACACCATTTTTTAAAAACTGCCAGTGAATGATCTCTTCTCTAACATGTGGACTCAGAACGTTTCAGATGTGCAAAGTCAACGTGTGCTAGGACTCGCCCCGGGGGTCACTGGTTCTTGACCAAGCATTCATGGGGACAGGACCCCAAGGGTCACACACGCTCTCCCACAAGGTGGGTTCTTTTCTGGCGGTGGTGGGTTCTCATCAGGACAAAGAGTTTCAGGGTTTTTGACATTGATGTGCTAATCTGCATTTTACTTGAAAGGTAGAGAGAGAGCAAGATGGTCCATCTGCTGGCTTACTCCCCAGCGTCCAGAGCGGCTGGGCTTGGGCTGGGCCAGGCTGCAGTCAGGTGCTGGGATCTCAGTCCAGGTCTCGCCTGGATGTGGCAGGGAGTACTTGAGCTGTCACCTGCCCTGGCCAGGAGGTAGGGTTGGAGATGATGCTTCCTGGAGTGGGAGGCAGCATCCTGAGTGACACTGAAACTGCAGGAGTTCAAGCCCCACTCCATTGGGCCTTTTGGATTTAAAATTCGTGCATGAGGGAGTTCGGGCTTATGATGGCGTGATCTGCACGCTCCTCCTCACTTGATATATTACAGCAGGTGTGTGTGTGTGTGAGAGAGATCGGGCTGGGAGGGTCACCCAGCCAGCCTGTGTGTGTGTGTGTGTGTGTGTGTGTGTGTGTGTGTGTGTGTGTGTGTGTGTGGTGTGTATGTGTGTGTGGTGTGTGTGTGTGAGAGAGAGACATCTTCTGGATCCAACTCTCAATTGTTCACGGATGGGCTTGAAACCACTCAGACTTGGCATGTTAACTGCAGACAGCATTAGCTATGTGTTGTCAAAGCCAAAGCCTGGCTTTAATGCTGGGCCTTTGCTTAGATTTCTTTTCCTTTTTAAGATTTATTTATTTGAAAGGCAAAGTGAAAGAGAGAGAGGAAGACAGAGAAAAAGAGGTTCCATCCATCTGATGGTTCACTTGCCAAATGGCTGCAATGGCTGGAGCTAGACTAGGTGGAAGATGGGAGCCTGCCACTCTACCCAGGTCTCCCACATGCATGGCAGCAGCCCAAATCCCTGGGCCACCCCCGCTTTCTCAGGAGCATCGGCAGGGAGCTGGAGTGAAAGCAGAGCAGCCAGGGCTCGAATCATCACTTGGGTACGGGAAGCCAGCACTGCAGCTCAATCAACCTGCCACTTAACCACCTGCTACGCAACATGGCTCCCTCATTTAGCTTAAAAATATTTATTTATTTTGAAAGGCATTTTTTTTTTGTTAGAGAGAGAGAGATCTTCCATCCCTGATTCCCTGGTCAAATATCCACAGCAGACAGAGCTGAGTTGATATGAGTTTGGGAGCCAGGGGCTTCTTCTGGGTCTCCCACGTGGTGCAGTTTCTCAAGGCTCTGCTGTTTTCCTAGGCCACAATCAGAGAGCTGGATTGAAGTGGAGCAGTCAGGACATGAAGCAGCATCCATATGGGATCCTGGTGCTAGCAGGTGGGGGATTAGATTGCTATGCCACTGCACCAGCACCCTTTGCTTAGATTTCTAAGGGGGAGGTAAAGGAATAAACTGTATCCTCTCTCTGAAGCACCACATATCCTTTTGCTCCACCCACGGTCTCGGCCACTATTGCTTCTCCACCAGCCTTCTCACCCACTTGTAAAATGCATTGCATCTTTGCTACTTCCTGTCCTTGTAAAAGTGACACATAAGAACAAGAGCAAGAGAAGTGTGCAGAAAGAGAACACCAAGCTTTCCTTTGTCCTTGAGGGCTGGTGGTCTTGAAGAGTTTGGCAAACGCCAGATGCTGAGGGCAGAACACACCTTGCTCTCCTGAACTCCTCAGAGCCTGGCCCTGCAATGATCGAGTCCCAAAATGCTATTCTGGGTGGACACTGCCCCATGTCCAAGAAGAACAGAGGATGATGGCTAGAAAGCCAGGTGGGAGGCCACGGAACCCGGCCTGGGCTGCAGAGGGTGTGACCACGAAGGCAGAGGACTCTAAGCTCCAAGATTCATGAAGTTACAAATAAAGGAAGCCCCAGAGACATCAAAAGGGAAGAAAGGACACAGAACCAGTTGCCAAGTGAGCCTCAGTGCTAAAAGCTATCCCCCACTAACACAGCCATCCTGGAAACTGAAATTCCACAGGCATTTTTGCTGAGATACCAGAGGCCATTGCATCACGCCTGACCGAAGGGCCACCACTTCAGAGCAAATCCTCACAGGGACTGTCTTCCCAGTTTCTCTCACACTTCCTCCTTGTCAGATGCACAAAAGGTTTTTGTGTTTCTCTCAGCTTAATGGCCGGCGGGGAGTTCAGGCGTGTGACTTCACAGTCAGGCTCCAGGATTCCTGCCTACAGCTAACTGCGCACCACCGTCAGGATTCAGTCGGCCCGGCCCCACCGCCCTCCACCGCCCTCCACCACCAACTCCGCAGAAAACTCAGCTCCCCGAGGTTGGAGTCTGGCCCGGGGTCCTGGAACCTGCCCTGGGACAAGCTCAGGTAACAAGTCAGTGACACTGGGGCCCATGAACGCGACCTTTTAGAGGGGCTGCATTCTATCAAGCCCTTGGCCTGGCATTTGGGGGTGCCCTCTCCCAAGGCTACCAGGGTCACGGACACCACAGAGTTGTTCCCTGGAGGGTCGCCACTCCTGGCTGTGTCAGGTGCTCCTCCCTGCCCAGGGCTGGGCACCGGCTGTGGCCCAGGCGCTGCGCATCCTCCGGCAGAGGGCGATCTGCTCCCACCGACTTCCTGCCGCCCGGGCCTTCCCCGAGTGCGCCCCAGTTGGGGACCCCAGAGGGGTTCGATGCTAAGCTGGGGTTGCGGGCGCGCACTGGCGGGAGCCGGGGGCGTTGGCTCTGGCAGGGCGCGGGCGCACCTAGCGTCGGACCGGCCGGGAGAGGCTTCGACGCGCGCGGCGCGGCCTGCCCGGGGGACGCGCCCCCTTAGCCCCGGCGCGCCGCGCGGGCCCCAGGTGCCGAGACAATGCGGCGCGCGGCGGCGGCGCCCGGGAGCGGCTCGAGGGCCCGGGGCGCGCGCCGCGCTGCTTCCCGCAGGCTCCGCTTCCCGGCGGCGAGCGCGCCGATTGGCGCCCGGGCCTCCGCGCGCCCCGCCCCGCGCCCCGCCGGCCGCCGCGCCGCCCCCCTCGCCCGGCCGGACCCGCCCCTCTCCGCGGGAGGCGCTCGGGGCCCGCGGCTGGGTGGCGGGCAGTTCCCGCCGGCTCTGCGCGCCCGCCTCGGGGCTCGCTGGAGAGGACGCGCGCGGCGGCGGCGGTTGCGGGAGGCCAGGGCGCGCGCGCGGGCGGACGGCCGGGCTGAGCTGCGGGCTGCGCGCCGCGCCTGCTCCCGCCGCCGGGCCCCGCGCCGGCTCCCGCGCCCTGCGGCGGCCCCCCGCGCCCGGCACTCCCCTTTGTCCGCGCGCCCAGGCGGCGGCTGCCGGAGCCCTCGGCGGTCGCGGCGGCGGACGAGGAGGAGGAGGAGGAGGAGGAGGAGGAGGAGGAGGAGGAGGCGGAGGAGGCGGCGGCTCCCCCGCGGCCGCGCGTTGCGGCGATGCCGGACCAGATCTCGGTGTCGGAATTCGTGGCCGAGACCCATGAGGACTACAAGGCGCCCACGGCCTCCAGCTTCACCACGCGCACCGCCCAGTGCCGGAACACAGTGGCGGCCATCGAGGAGGTGAGCGGCGGCCTCGGAGGGGCGGCTCCGGCCGCAGGGACCGGCGGCGCCGCGCCCGGATCGGCGCCCGGGTCGGCGCCCCGCGCCACTCCCCGCCACTCCCGCACTCGCGGCTGGGAAAAGTTTCTTCTCCTTCGCTGCGGCCGCGGCCGGGCCAGCCGTGTCCGAGACAGAAGCCCTTTGTTTCGATGCGGGGGGCTCAGAAAAGACGGTCCGGGGCCGCCTCGGGCCTTTGCGGGACCCCCGCCCCTTTTCCCTCTCGGAGTCCCCAGGCGGGGCCTATTCCTTCCGCGCTGCCAACTTTGGGCAGAGAGTCGGGGGGCAGCGGCGACCCGGGGTCTGAGGTCGCCGGTGCAGACCCCCCACGGGTCCCCAGAGAGGCTCCGCGCTGTGTGCCCGGCTCTCCGCAGACCCCCGGGCAGTGAGTCCGTCCCGGGGAGCCTGGCCTGGAGGCCGGGCGCTCCCGCACCGTGCGGATGGTGGTGCGGGTACGGAGCGCCTGGAGCCTGGAGGCCTGCGGTACCGCTCGGGGTTACCTGAGCCTCACCTGCGGGATCCCCGGGCCGCTGCCTTCGCCTACCTAGGAGAGGCCTGGATCTAGGGAAGCGCTGGTGCACCGTCATGCCGCCGAGGGGCTCTGCAGCTCCGGCTGGGACACAGATGCCGCCCGCAGGCCGGCTCGGGGCAGGTCCTCGCTCCAGCCTCACCTTCCTCACCTGTCGGTGTGTGGGTGCACTGCCCTCCCTGTGGCTCCCTGGGGGGAGGGTTGGTCTATTTACCCTGGTGTGTAGTGGCCGGGATCCACAGCTCACTGTTTCTGGGCCCCTTGGCAGGTCGCAGGTTGCATTTTTAAACTTGGGTATGTAGTCTAGGTATTGCAGGGGGGGAACCCCACAAAAGTGCCTGGCTAGAGTTGGGGGGAGGGGCGCCCAGAGCTTTCAGTCCAGGCCAGGACTCACTTACCCCTTCCCCCCCACTGAAACAAAGAATCTGCTATTAAGAATCCCTCGAGAAAAAGATGTAGAATGTTTTCCCTTGGTGGCGAGTTCTCTGTAGACGTGGAAGGTCCGCAGGAGAGGGGCGGAAGACACAGGTCGTGGTTCTGGGCAGCAGCGGACTTGGTTGTTCTCGGCTGACTCGGTGGCCGGCCTCCTCCCCTGGTTTTGGCCAGAAGGAGGCTGTGTGGAGATGAGCTGCTGTCAGCCCAGCTTTCTCTAGAACACCAAACTCTACTTTTATCTGAAAGGCTTCGGGAAATGATGCCTTCCCACGGGGCAGGTGGGACGTGGCCTGGGAGGTGGCTCTGGGAAAAGGCAAAAGAGCCGGCTGTCTTGAGAAGACACCGCTGGGGATGTGGGTGGAGAGGTGGAGAGGGACAGAAGGTTCCAGAAGGGCAGGCAGCCCCGGCCTCAGGGCCTCGGCCTCACGGAGCTGCTTGGTGGGGTGTGTGTGTGAGCCAGGGTCGCTGGCTCCCGCCTGAAGCCGGATAGGGACTGGGAGTGCTGTTAAGATGGGCGCCCCCTCTCTCCAATTAATTTTAGTGTGCAGCGTATAATTCCAAAGCTCTTTTTGTAGGCTGGGCTGGAGATTACCCCCAGAGCTTAGCGACTGAGCAGATTAAAAAGAGACAGGATTTGGCCATGTTGTTAAGTTGCAACCTTGCTGCATGTTGTCATCTAAGTACAAAAATTGGTTCATGCTTTTTTTTTTTAAAAGAATTTATTTATTTGAAACTCAGTCATGGAGAGGGGGAGAGAATGAGAATCTTCCATCCACTGGTTCACTCCCCAAATGGCTGCAGCACCAGGGCTGGACCAGGCTGGAGCCAGGAGCCAGGAGCGTCCCTGGGGTCTCCCACATACCTAGAGGGGCCCAAGTGCTTGGGCCGTCTTCCACTGCTTTCCCAGGCACACTAACAGAGAGCAGGATTGGAAATGGAGCAGCTAGGATGTGAACTACCACCCTACGGGATGCTGTTGCTGCAGGTGGTAGCTTAATGCTGGTGGCATAATGCAGGTGGCACCACAGTGCCAGCCCCTTAGTTGGAGTTCCAGAAATGGAAACATTGAAGTCATTGCAGATTCATCTTACTTTAAGTCCAGTGCACCTGCTGTGATGGTGGTGGTGCGCATACTTGGGCCTAAGTGTGCAAGCTGTTTATCTCTGGGAGGAATCCGTGCAGATTCCCTTCCGTATTGTTCTTTTCCTAGAGTTTTATGTTCAGGTCCATTCCCCCCCCCCCCCCAGAAAAACAGTTGACCTGTGTCTGGTGCTCACAATATTTTGTTTTCAGACGAGGTGACTATCACTCATTTAACCTGTAATAAGTTTAAAATTGTGAAACCCTTGTTTCTGTGTTTACCAACATGACTGGTGGAATTGGTAAACTAATTTTAAACTAATTCACCTCTGTCATTTCTCATGTAGGTCGTTTGTGCTAAGAACTGGCTCGTGCGGTGTGATTTGTTTGCGTGTTGCTGGATGGGCAGCCATGGGGTCCCGCTCCCTGTCCCCTGCCATGTTCCACAGACCTCGCGTGGCGTGGTTAGTCTTTGGGGACAAGGTCAAGTCGTTTGTTCCAGGCTGTGGAGGACTGAAACAGAGTTTGAACTTGGCTCCGCGTGGCTTTCGACTTGGTGGCACCCTTTTCTTCGTCATGCTGAGTGCTTTCAGTTGCTCCATGCTGTTAACCCGAGTTCAAGTTCAGTCTGCATCACCCACTTGCGTGTTCTCATTTTGCTCGGTTTTAAGGTCTGCATAGAGAGAGACACCATGCAGTGTGGCGCGTGGTGCCTCCTGCGTCATGGGCTTAGTCAGGGCCAGCACTTGCCAAGGCATCCCTCAGGGAATGCCCAGTCCTGGGTGGGGACTTGGCGTACGGGAGGGCCTGTGGGTGAGTGGAAAACCCACTCATGGATTAACCCCTGTGGGTTCTTTTTTTTTTTTTAAACCAGTTTGCTGTCTTGGCAGTGAGTCCACCGAGCTGTGTTTTAAAGTTTTGATTCAGTCACTTTCTCCGGGTGAAGTAATTATTTTGCAGTTTTTACAAGCTTTGCCAAGTCTGGAGTCGGCCCCATGTTTTGCAATTGGTGGAAAAAAAGTAAGTCATTGTGGTATAAATCTGAAGAGTGAGCGTTTTTCCTTTCTTTCTTTCTTCTTTTTTTTTGGTGGTGGGAATCTGTGTTGCTGTGTGTGAGCTGTGGGCACTTTGGAATGATCTCACACCAGGGGGGAATCTGGCAGATGTGGGGTGTCTGTGTGTGCAGCGCGACCCTTCTGGCTCACTGACATGCCAGGAGCATGTAGTTTTAAAAATAAATTTGATGTTGACTTACAAGTCTTCCAGTGTAATCTACTTCCTTCCGGGGCCATGGTTCTTGCCTGTTTGTCCTTGCCTCCCTTGGAAATTGCAGTGCGGTCACAGCCCAGGGGCTTGCTGTCCCCAGGCGGCCCCTGCTGGCAGTGGCAGTGGGAACCGGGCGCATTCTGATGCAGACAGGGCCCTTTGTGGCTTGTTGGGGCCGGTGACTCCAGCTCCTGGACTGGGAGCCGTGTCCTGCCTCTGCCACCTGCAAGACACCCCCTCACCCGCTGTGTCTGGCTTTGGAAGCATGGGGCACACGGGGCCACTGTTATGTTTTTTAGGTTTTATTTTATTTTACTTGAAAAAGTCAGAGAAAGAGAGGTCCTCCGCCTGCCGGTTCTCTCCCTCAATGGCCAGTGCTGGGCCGGTCTGAGCCTAGGAGCCAGGAACTTTTTCTGGGTCTCCCACAAGGGTCCAGAAGCCCAAAGCCTTTTGCTTTCTCAGGGAGCTGGATTGGAAGTAGAGCAGCTGGGACTCGAACCAGCATTCTTGTGGGTTGCTGGTGCTGCAGGTGGTGGGTTAGTGTGCTACACACTGGCCCCAGGGTGCTGGAATGTGAAGTGGTGAGATCTGGACAGAAGGAGCGGTAGCACCAGAGAAGACAATCCTCTGGGGACTCGCGTCCTCCAGGGTGACAGTGCTGCTCCTAGGCCTTCGCCCAGGGCTCAGCAACACTGCGTGTCAGGTCATGGGACAAGAAACAGGCAGGAGTGGTTCTCCCCACGCTGGACCTGCGGTCGGCTGGCTCACCTCCAGTGCTTGGGCCATGCAGACGACCCTGTGGGGACTGCAGATGGCGTGCCTGGCAGCAGCACGGTGGTCTCCTGGGAGTTTGTTACATGCACCGATCACGGACGTGTGTCTAGCCTTAATGGTGACGGCCCCTTGACTCACCTCGTGGAGCCTGGTGCGGTTCCTGGCTCTGGCTGCTGAGCCCAGCATCCTGCCTCACACCCTCTGGAGGCCCTGATGGTGGCCCCTGCCACCCGTGTGCAAGACCTGTACTGTCCATCCCACGGGGTCTGTCTCAGCCCAGATGTTTGTGGGTGTTTGTAGAATGAAGCAGTGGCTCAGAGCTGCTGTCTTCCCATCTCCCTGCCTCTGCCTCAAATGGAACAGAAGGCAGAGCCTTGTGACCAGCTGCCTGTGAGTTTTTCCCCTGAGAACTCAGTGGCGGATCCTGGATTCTCCCTTCATCAGTTTGGGTGGGGCCTGGAGGCTTGACTTCTTTTTTTTTAAGATTTGTTTATATTTTTTGTTTGAAAAGCTGATTTTCCTGAGAGAAAAAGTTTCCTCTCCACTGGTTCACTCCCCAAATGGCCATAAGAGCTGGGCTTGTCTGAAGCCAGGAGCTTCTTCTGGGTCTCCCAGGTGAGTACAGAGACCCCAAGCACTTGGGCTCCACTGCTTTCCCAGGCCTGATAAACAGGGAGCTGGATGGGAAATGGAGCAGCCAGGACTAGAACCGGCACCTGTATGGGACACCGGTGCTCACGGGTGGAGGAATAGCATACTATACCACTGTCCCGGCCTGTAGTCTTGGCTTTTGTGGCAGGACCAGATGGCTCAGGGCCTCGTCTTTCTGGGAGGGCATTTGAGTTCTGTTGTGGACTTCATGCTGGGAAGTCCTTGGAGG